CCTATGAACTTTCGCTCCCCATGGATTTGTGTTTCAAGTTGGATGTTTCCCGCCAACCTATGTTACATGACAGGAGAAAAAGCAAAACACTGCGGGTGGGCTCATTCTAACCATTCTGAAACCGCCCCAGCTGGTTGCGACGATATCAAGTGTATGTCCTACGAGATGTTCTAACTAACAAGTTATGGAGCTCACATAAAGAGCTGAATAGGAGTACAACATTAAGAGTACAAGTTTTTGCTATTATAAGCCCACAACCATTTTCCCCTCCCCTCCTTGAAGACACTCACCAAAGAAAAAGTAGCACTCACCACTGATAACGTCACTGGAAGTGAACTCTGTACTGGAACTTTGACATTTTCGCTGCTACTGATCGAAAGAGGAGCAAGTTTCTCTGGTAATTTGTTTGCGTCGATTGCAGGTGACAACTGTACAAGCCTCACAGCGGGAACCGTTATTGGAGAAGGCTGAAACATGAATACCAATGCTCTCATACATTGATATCGGCAAACGATTTGCTGTAAGGAAGCATAATGTATGTCATATAAAAGTTTCTTAAAATCAAAAGTGCCTCGGGCACTGCTCAACTCCACCCAATCGAAGACTCGGAAAATTGCGTAGGAGAATTGTCGGTTCTCCTGATCGACACGTATTTACAAATTTTGCAGATGCACCGGGTCCTTCGTTGCTTTTATTACGGCGATTCTCCGGGGTTTCTGTGGTAACAATGACTTAATAGTTATCAGCTACCAAACAAAGACAGTGCTGGATTGCCAGGTGGGCGGAAGCAGAGGATTAAGTTATTCACGCCTCCCTCGTACTCATCCTTTCCATGACGGTGAAAAAGGCGCCAAGGAGGATGCGCCCAAAACGGGTTTCGCCAGCTATACCAAGCTGTTTCTTTAACTCATTTAACTCAATTTCTTCTGCAACTGCGCTTAATATATTAGCATGCACTATCCCTCAGCGTGTTTGATTCATCTGAGAAGAGCATAGGAAATTCTCATTACATCGGCGAACGAATTCGAAAAGAAGGAGGGTCAAAAATCCAATATGACATGTAACAATAAGAAAAACGAAGAAAAAAGCTTTCATGAGAACTCCTGAATACCTTTCCAGATTCACCATTCGATGCTGTGACTGGAGGGGCGTTATCTGTGACAGTCACCTGAAACGTTTTCGTTTCTGAAAATGCTAGTCATAAAGTAGTAGTTGCAGCGATAGAAAAAACTCATGATTGTCAACAAACAGCAGGTATCATTCCTCTTGAAAGGTTAAAACACTCACACTAATGTTTTCGGAATGGGTCTTCTCTGCAGAGCTAATTGTCTGAGGGCGCGTTGTTTGAGTTGCTGACGCTAGAACGATCATAAATATGGTTATTTCCAAAAAGAGTGAACAATGGTGAACGAAAATTGAAGACTTCTTAGACACAGTTACTACTCAAAATCCATCCCCCAAGCCGCGTTAGTTTTTTTTTTCCCCTCTCTGCGCTCTAAGACCTAAACTGTGTCACTACTACCTTAAACACAGTGGCCTTATGCTCTGGCTGCTCATCATCTGTCTAAGCTACAGAATTTCACGACAGACTCCACCAAGAGTTCAACTAGTCACATAATCGAGAGTATATGGCCCATTTGTTTTGGATATAGGCAAGTGAGACAATGATCAAATGAGAGAATTAGACGGAATTGAACTGCCCAAGCGGTGTTAAAAAAGCTCACGTTTTCTGAATGGCTCATCTCCATAGCTGCCATTCCAGAAGCCCCGCCTCTTGTTGTATTTGCTCGAATACCATGGCCGTCCTTCCTCGTTGAACCTAAAGGAAGTAGAAACAAAAAAAAAACGGGTAAGGAAGTAGAAACAGTTCAGGCTATGAAAAAAATTCTAAGGGCTGCTCGTCCTGGGGAGAGGGTGGTGAGAAAGGTGCAGGTCTTCCTTTCGATGAGAACCAGCGAAATGCCCTCCCCCCGTCCTTTCTTCCGAACAACAGCGCCGAATTTTGTTACAGATACAAATCGTCGACGAACGTCGTGCTAAGAATCTGAGAAAAAAAACCATGTCCTCATACATTGAAAAAACCTCACTTCGCAATACGGTCAATGGCTATCTGAGCGTCCTCCATTGCCGGGTCAACATATATAACACTTTCGAGGAACTCTGATACTACCGGCATTTCCATCACAGCTGGAATTAGTGATAATCTCACAAAGACTTTCGAATACACGCGAAGATATACCTTTCAACTCAAGAAAAGTTTCAATTGGAACAGCTGCCGTTCCTTCTCCTCTCATCTGACGAAGATGCTTTGCATGTCTCTGTTGCATCACCTCATCGGACGGAACAATAGTTACACACTAGAAAAGCAATAGAGCATAACATAAGAAAGCAGTGCCACATTAAAAATGAAACTACTTTGGAAAAGGTAAGAATGAAAATTCCATAAACCTAAACGCTTCTTTGAAATACAAACAAGCAAATTACTTAGGATACTGAAAGTGAGTCTCGAAAAATTGTGGTTTCCTGCTCGAACAAACTTTCTACGATTACTTAGGGAAGGATCCTTCCCATGATCAAGATGGGTTTCGCAACAGTGTAATTCTTAAAGGCACTCCTCCCATTCAAGAACAACTGACATTGATGCTAGAGGCTCAATAGAATGAAGTTTTTGTATCACCGCGAGCCATTCGATACTCGGTACACACTTCACACTCACGCCACACGCTACACGGCCAGCCTTACGATTGACCATAGCCACACAACGCCAGGCGGTATAACGTGGCTGTGGCATGGCATATTGTGGCGTGCGCGTTGAACTGAATGCATTGAATAACTGATTGATGCATAAGGAACATCGAGCTAATACAAGCCTCTGTAGTCACAGCGGTGTTCAGTCGAAAATTTCGAGCAGCTTCATCAAGGGAACGCCGGATTTTCACTGCTTCGAACCTGCAGGCCTCATACATGGAGAAGATCCTTCTCTCATCCAATAAAACGTACAATGTGTTGTTATGTTTTGTTACCAGACCGAGATTTCTCCACTGAAGAGCAGGCCATTCGGGAGCAACACTTTCCAACAAGCAAGCCCCGTCTGTACGGTGTACCGGGGAAAATTCCAATAATATAATATGTAGTAGTAACAACAATCTCACTAGCAACACCTTAAGCTAACAATAACTGCCTAAGCGCTAAAATTGAAAGGTAGGTGGTTCCGCCTGCCGATTCCTCACGGCAAACCATTCAGGCCATTACCATGCTTGATTAATGTTATCAACTACTCACTTGTCGGAAGAAACCTTCGAAGAGTGCTAGGCGTTTTTTGCGGGTGTCTGGATCGCAGTTCGTGAAATCGAGGATGTAGTTCCGCCTGCGGCGAGCCGCCAAGGAAAGCAACCTAAACAGCGATTTCAGTAATTGACGAACACACGAATATTTTTCCCACCTATTCCTAGCTTTCCCAACCAAACCGAGAACCATATCCCATCGTCCTATGTGACTGCTATTTCTCGACACACCGTTCACCTGCAACATATGTCATTTTATTCGTCTTAATTATACTTCGAACTTTGATCATTGTAAATATTTAGAAAGTTCATAAACGAAAACAAATCACCTTCATGGAAGCTAATATGGTATCAGCACTAATAAGCGTCCAGTGCTCTTTGGGATGTTCACGGATATAACGACGAACCCAAGTGGTCTTTCCCACACTAGG